AGACTTTTTAAATAAAGTACATAATTCACTTGAGATCTCTCAGTTATTCTGCGGTTGCTGTGAGTTTTTATTTTTGTTGCATTAATCTTGTTTTTGATTCTGTACAGACTTTTATATTAAATTGGTTTTATGTTTACTTATTGTAATCTTTTCACAAAGCTTCATCTTACATGGTGTTATACAAATGTCATAAATATTTAAAATAAATAACGTTTGGGCAATCTTTTCTTCCTTTCCCTTTTGTAAATATTTTTTTTGAAATTAAAAATGCTAGTTGCAAGCATGGTAACTTTAAGAATTAGTAATTGTGCTTTGAACTTTGAGTGTAAACCTTCCAACAGGGATTAGATTAGCACTGAAAATCTTTTGAGCTAAAGAAAGGAATGAAAAATATGTTAAATAAATAAATACTGCATGGGTTAATACATTATCCCAATGCACTTTTAAACTGTTACTGAATAAACCATTGGATTGGTTCATATAATACACTGTCATAAATCATGGCTTACAAATTACATTGGCTATGTTTGTACAAGGTCCTAAGCTAAAATAAAACCACATTGTGATTAATATGATATTTGATCTCAGCAGTAGCTGTGTTTGCACAATACATTTAGTTAAATACTATCAAGTAGAACTTGTCTCGTGATGACTGCATCATGGGTAAATGCTTGACAGCTTGACCTATCTCAAGTAACAACCTGTAGCTCTTCTTTGAATTCACCATCCATCTCATCCATTGTCACCCCTTAATTTCTTTCCTCAGCTTTGCCAAACATCATTCTTCTTTTCCAGTCTCTCAATTTGTCATATCACATGACCAAAGGATTGTGCTTGACTGATCATCACCTCAAGGAAACAGTCAGTCCCTTTAATCCAGGACTGATTAATTGGGTTCTTGAAGTCTATGACCTTTTAGTGACTGTCTCCAAATCTGTAATTTGAAGGAGCCTATCTTGTTCCTCTTGTTCTTTTTAAATGTCTGGGTTTTAGAGCCATACATTATCACATCATTACTTTCAACGTTGTTATAGAAATATCTCCTTTTTAAAATGAAGTTTTAAGTTTGTCATAGGTCCAATCCCTAGGATTAATCTTTTTGCTCATATAGTATTCTTTTCCTGTTTAGCTACTCTTAAGTTCAAAGGGGGAAACTACCTCTTCAGTTCTTTCAATTGTAAATTCACTATGCATATTACTTAACTCTGCCTTTGCTTTTATTCTAACATGTGTTTCCTTTCTACTTCATCTAACAACCAACCTACAACATATTTATGCAAAGCATTCCATAATTCAATTCTATTTACTTTGTCATGTACTATGTAATAACTTTTCTTTGTCACATTCATATACTTCTTAATGACCTAAAATGGGAGAAGGGGGGAAATGGCCTACAACTGTGCCCACTCCATTGCCGGCAATGGAGAAAACGTTCCGATACGTTGCATGACGTCACGTGATGTCACGAGTTTGACATGTCTGGCCTACACACCCAACATAAATTCACAACATCCCCAAATTAGGCTAGGTGGCGCAGCAGTTAGAGTGCAGTACTGCAGGCCACTTTAGCTGACTGTGTTCAGCAGGTCAGCGGTTCAAATCTCACCGGCTCAAGGTTGACTCAGCCTTCCATCCTTCCGGGGTAGGTAAAATGAGGACCCAGATTGTTGGGGGCAATGTAAATATATATATACATTGTTTACTGGTGTATACCGCTTAGAGAGTGCTTGCACTTAAAGTGGTATATAAGTCTCATAAATAAATAAATAAATAGTTGTTATTGTTACAAAGAACGTGGAGGCGCAGTGTTTAGAATGCAGTACTGCAAGTACTACCAGCTGCCAGCAGTTTAACAGTTCAAGTCTCACCGGCTCATGGTTGATTCAGCCTTCCATCCTTCTGAGGTCGGTAAAATGAGGACCCAGATTGTTGGGGGCAATATGCTGACTCTGTAAACCTCTTGGAGAAGGCTGTAAAGCACTGTGAAGTGATATATAAGTCTAAGTGCTATTGATATTGCTTACTATGCTTGTAACTATCTTTTTTTTCTCTATATGCAGTGCAGAATGTCTTTTGGGTTTTAGCCATGCTAAAAATGTAGCTAAACATAGAGATAAAAGACTACTGTACCTAGAGGGGCATGACCTGCAAATCGGTTGGCATGCCTTTCTGTGGTATGGAAAGAATAAAATACATAGATACTTTGAAAACCATTTTATAAGAAATGCACTTCTTTCAGAATGGGAAAGAATAAAAGAAAAAATTATATTAAGATAAGGTGACCAACCGTCCTCCTTTAGAGAGGACAGTCCTCCTTTTGTAAGTTTTGTCCTCCCTCGAAAAGTGTCCTCTTACATGTCCTCCTTTCCGATATTTGAAGACTAATCTGCAGGGCTTTTTTTTCTTCTCATAGAACGCTCAGAACGGCATTCCGGCACTTTTTTTTGATGGTTTTTTCCCCCAACTTTTGCATGAGCTGTGCTATTCCTCCTATTGGCTTTTGAAAGCCAATAGGAATTGCTGCTGAGCGTGCCAAAACACCCGGCCGGCAAACTTTGCATATGTAAGTTGTCTGCAGCGAAGGTGAATTGGCAGGAACTTTGCACCCCTTCCTGCTACCCAACTACACCATCTCCTAGTTAGTCCTGAAGATACCTGGAGGAGACTGGAGCAGTAATGCCACGGTAACTTTCTCTTGATCTTTAGCCCTGCTAGGCCAATAATGGCTGTGGGCGCAAGAGACAGGGGCAGTGGGGCTGCTGCGGGCAGAGGTATAAGGGCCGGTGGTGGCCGTCTGCCCCCTGTGCTGTGGGAGCCGCGGGGCCTGCTCTACACGGGGCTGTGCAGGGTGGGCGGTGGTGCTGGTGGGGCGGCTGCAGGCGGGGTGTGTCGATGGCAGGCTGCCCCCCTGGGGCCGGAGCCAGCGAGCTGGTGCTTTGGGAGCCGTGGGGCCCGCTCTACATGGTGGGGCAGCAGTGCTGGCGGGGTGGCTGCAGGCGGGGGTGCGGCATGTAAGCATAATTACAATATAAAATGTTATTGTTACAAATGTTTTTTATTATGCATTTATCATATTATAGTGTATTTTGTATCATTGTTGCAATGAATAAAATGTTTCTTTTATTTACGATATTTTTTTCTTCAATTTATTTGTGTCCTCCTTTTCATTGTAAAAAAGTTAGTCACCTTAATTAAGATACCTGAATGGCTTTCAACAATGGAAGCTTTTACTTACCCAAATTTAATTAACTATGATAAAGTTGTGACTTACAAAGATATTTTGGATAAGGAAGGAAAATTGAAAGACAGACAAGAATTACAAGAACAAGGTATTGATTTAGCATGGTGGCCATATCTGCAAATTCAACGAGATATGAAAAAGATGTTAAAACAATGGGATTTTATAAAGAACAGATACTGTTAAAAACAGATGAAAAGTTGATCAAGAAACTCTATAGATTCCTGTTTAATTTAAAGATGGAGGAAGAACAAGTAAAAGAAACAATAATATGGGCAAAGAATTTTGGACATACTATAGAATTAAAAGAGTGGCAAAAATTATGGGAAAGAAATATTAAATTAACTAAAGCAGTGCCATATAAAGAAAACCTATACAAAATGTTTTACAGATGGCACATGACACCAGTGAGACTAGCGAAAATGTTTAAAAATACTTCAAACAGTTGTTGGAAATGCAAACAAAGGCCAGATACTTATTACCACATCTGGTGGACATGCCCTAAAGCAAAAAGGTATTGGGCTAAATACATTTATGGTTGGAGAAGAGACTAAAAAACAAATAGACTTTAAACCAGAACTGTTTTTGTTAGGAATAATAGGAGCCAACTATGAGAAAGATTGCAGATATCTAATACTACATGTATTAACAGCAGCAAGAATTGTATTTGCCCAGTATTAGAAAAATGAAAACTTACCAACTGAAGAAGTACTAATTAAGAAAATTCTAGAGTGCGCAGAAATGGATAGATTGACTTTAGAGATTAAAAGGAAAGAAGACTCTGTCTACTTTAGAACATGGGATAACTTTTATCAATGGCTAGAAAAACGAGTCAGAGACAAAGGAATGTGACATGTAATTTTGAATATATATTAGTAAGAAGAAGGCTACTGAGTGATTAATTAATACTGTTTATGATAATTAACTACATCTATTATTCTTAGTTTAATACATGTACCCAGATAATATGCTGTTTGCTAAATATTGAAAATGTTACCTGGGAAAACCCCAACCCTAACCCAAACCCCAATCCTAATCCCGACCCCATTTTATCCCTAACCCTATTAAAACGAATAAAATTTATATAAAAAATGTAGCTAAACAAAAATATCAGATCTATTTCAAAAATAGCAAAATAAAAAACAATACATGGATTAAAATAGTGTGAATAACTTATAGACACTTTATTACAATCGAAGGGGGTTGGAGTTTGTTATAAACAAACAATCATCTGAGAGAATTCTAAATATCTGAGGCCATAAATGTCCTCAATTTCCTGATTGTGCAAGCAAGAATCGCTATCAGTGGGTAATGATGTTTGAATTAGCATCTCTAAAAAAAATCCAGTGATTAAGGCACCAGTTAAAAATCAGGAGACTGTGAGTTCTAGGCTTCCCTTAGGCACGAAAGCTCACTGGGAGAGAGTGTGGGCCAGTCACACTCTCTCAGCCCAACCCACCTCACTGGGTTGTTGTGGGGAAAACAGAAGGAATAATGAGTATTAGGTGTATTTGCCACCTTGACCTATTTATAAAAAGTAGTAAAGGCAGATAAAAAAAAGTTCTGATTGTGCAGTACAAGTAGAAGAAATGCAGCAAGCAATACCTTTTGGCCAATGTGTTCATCTTTTGTTTTTTCTTGCAAAAATACAGAAACCCTTTTATGGTATGAAAAATAGATTTTTCACAACCAGTAGAGAATAAAATGTATGTGGGATTAATAATCTTACAACATTTCTTTTATTTCTCTTTTTCTTCTTCAGATAGATAAATGGCTGGCCTTGTGGGTAAAACTGTTGTTTACACCTGAAGACATCCAAGTTCAGACCCACAATCAACTTTAACTTTTCTGCTTATATTTTGGTAAGCCTTTTCTTTGTGTATGTTTGTAACTTCACAGTATCACTTTTAAAATAACGTTTACCTTCAAAAACATAATATTTTATTCTCTTTCCTGGTACTACATTTGACTGTTCGAAATAGGAAAACTATTATAGTGATTAGTGTGGGAGTAGTAACATCAAAGGAATGGGAGAGCAATAGGTAGTTCATACTTACTTCCCCTTCTCCTAATGTTTAGTGATACATAGTTTTAGCTGTGAAAAGTTTCAGTTATTTTATACATACCACCATCTACTATTGTCACATAATTCTGCCACTGAAGTCTTAGGAGTATTTATTTATTTATTTGGGAAATAAATTCCATGCCATCTGAATCCAGAGCAAATTGATAGAATTATGATAATGTTTTGGGGTCATACAGAAGATAATGTGAAATGTTCCATTTTATATTTTAATGTAAGGAACAATTTGGCCAAAGACTTGGATACAGCCATGGATAACTTGCACACAGATCCAGTATCTTGGTAGAGCTTGAGGTATATGTTTTGAACTGCAATGGAGCTGCTCTGGGGATAAGGCAGTCATAAGACAGGACTTTTATCATTTTTGATCAATTTAGTAGTTTCATATTTTTACCAGTTTATCTAAGACAGTGATGGCAAAACTTTTAGAGACTGAGTGTCCAAAAACCACCCCCGCCTCCCTACCCATCCTGCTCTGCACCCCGCCCACCCGCATGGCCACCCTCTGCAGCAGGTCACCCAGGCAGCCAGCAGCGCCATGGTGACCATGCCCTCCGCCCATGCCCTGCAGCATCAGTGTGACAGGGCGCGAGGGCAAAGTCTTGTTCCGCTGCCTGGCTGCCATGCCCTTGGCTGTGCTGCTCTGTGCGGACTGCGCTCGGGGGAAACTCTTCTCTGGGAGGGCTGCTGGTGAGGTGGCAGGGGGAGGCGGGGCTGGGGTGACAGTGCACGTGCCCACAGAGAGGGCTCTGAGTGCCACCTCTGACACGCGTGCCATAGGTTCGCCACCACTGATCTAAGAGATGTTGGTATGTACTAAAGTTCTTCACCTGAAGAGAATTTTAAGGTTTGAACATACACATTTTCCATTATTAAATCATGAGAATAAAAATACAAAGGCTAGGATAGAATTACTTGGAGAAATTTCTAAAATACTGAATAAATCATTCAGATGTCTTTATGAAGGTTAAGATAAAAATGGAAGAATTCATAAAAGAAATCTAGTTGCATTTCTGCACAATTGTGTGCCATGGATTTTTATGGTTTGTCTGCTTTGCTGAAGAATATAAATGATAATGATGAAGTTGGAAGGGACCTTGGAGGTCATCTAGTCCAACCCCCTGCTCAGGCAGGAAACCGTACACCATCTGAAACATATTCCAAGTCCCTGCATTGTATTTCTCATGAAAAGTGTATACTACTATTTTTTAATCACATTAGATACAACTTATATATAATTTTAATGTACTGATATTATGATATATTGCCTGTCATTGCTTTATTTAAGTATCTAAGTATATTCTTCCCAACTTAATGGCCAATGTATATGAAACCAGAATGAATCCAGAAAGGTTCAACAATAATGAACCTCTGCAGTTTAAATTACAAGTTTTTGCTATGCTTACATTGTTTCTAATTAAATAAATGTTTAAGTTATAGATAGTCCTTGATTTATGACTGGTCGCTTAGTGACCATTTGAAGTTACCACAGATCTCTCTTGGGGTTACTTGCAACATGTTTCTGAAGTTACAAAAGTCACTCCCCCAGATGCTCACATAATCACATATTGAGCACTTGGTAACCGCCTTGCACTTGTGTCTCACAATCAGTGTGACTACGTTTTTATTATAGTTTTGCAAAAAACCCAGCATTTATTTTCAATTGTCAGCAAAACTGGCCTATAGTGAACCATCAGTTCGCTCAGCAGCCGTGATATTTGCTTAATGACTGTTGCAAAAAAGATAAAATTGGGTCAGTCGTGTGACCTGATTTACTATCATCATGACTTATGACTGTGTTGGGCTGGTTCCGTTACAGTTTTAAGTCAAAGTCTACCGTGCCAACTGCTTACTATAAGTATTCTGGGCTTTAAAATATATCTGCTGATTAGTTCTAGCATAACCCAATTCTGTATCTGTATAAATAGCTTCTTTTATTTGTTAGTTGGTAAAAGAATCTCAGAAACATGTGGCCTATCATTTTCTCACCTAGAGACAAATGTGTCTGCAACATAGATGGTTGTGATATAGGGGACTTTATGATATGCTGTTGACTTGTCCTTTTGAGGCACTACAGGTGAAGAGACCTCTTGCTACTACAAGCAGTTGCCTTTGTGCTTGATTCAAGAAATCCTAGGAGATAAAAGAATGGAATTCATTTTTTAAAAATTCAGCCATTAGCTAGCACATTTATTTTACCATGAGATTGTTAATGTGCACCAACAGCAAATCTGACTGAGTACGTGGGAGGTGGAAGATGATCCTAACAGAATTATAAAGCAGCTGTATTTGTATCTATCCATGGTCCAGCGCTGAACTAATACGCTTTCAGGGAATATGTGTTTTGTGTTGCCCCAGATAGTGCAAGGCGTTTAATCAGCCAATCTGTTTGCAGTCTGTTCAGCACCTGTTCAATAGGCAGTCGCAGTTGAAATTATGCCATTTCATACTTGGCAAAGCAGCCTTCTTGTACTGAATATTTGCCAGTTGTAGCAGAACGATAGTAGAGAAAAAAATGTGGCACCGTCCTAAGGATTAAGCAAATGAAAACTCTGAGCCTCAGTTAAAAATAATAGTCAAGAAAGGAAACATTGTTCACTATTTATTAGATTAACTGCTGGAGAACCTGTATTCCTAAATAATTTCTTAGTAGGTTTCTTTCTGAGAATGCATTTGCATTTTGACGCAACTTAAAAAAAAGCATTGTTTTTTAAAACACTGATCTGCAATGAGACTTGGGTTGTATAGGTAGTCCCTGACTTACAGCAGTTCATTTAGTAACAGTTCATAGTTACAATGGCACTGAAACAGACTTATGACTGTTTTTCACACGACTGTTTCAGTATCCCCATGGTCACATGATCAAAATTCAGATGCTTGGCAACTGACTCACATTTATGATGGTTGCAGTGTCCTCGGGTTGTGTGATCACTTTTTGTGACCTTCTGACAAGCAAAGTCAAGGGGGGAAGCCAAATTCACTTAACAACCGTGTTACTAACTTAAAAACTGCAGTGATTCACTTAACAACTGTGGCAAGAAAGATCGTAAAATAAGTCAAATAAGTCAATGTCAGTTAACAAATGTTTCTCTTAGCAACAGAAATTTTGGACTCAATTGTGATCGTAAGTTGAGGACAACCTGTATAAATACAAATAAAGCAGATACAGGTAAAGCAAATAGTTCTTACTCTGTATACAGTAGTAAGTATAGATGAGCTGGAAGAGGAATGAATTTTCACAAGAGCAGAGTATATTAAACAATATACAGCCAGGAGGCTGGCAAGTGGTAAAGGGGGAGTTTCAAAAGAGATTATTTCAGCAAGCTAATAATGATAAATGTCTGAAGCTGCATTATAATAAATCTGATTATTAATCCATCTAGCTCAGTATATGAATAATGACCAGTAGAAATAGCTCTTAGGTGTTTTTTATTAGGAGATACAAGAAATTGATCCCACAGACTTCTAGACACTGTTGTGCTAATGGACTATGACATTCCTACAAACCAAAGTGATTATCTTTTTTTTAATGAGCTTATCTTATTATAATGGGTGTATGTGAAAAAAGGAGATTTGTGTGTAGTTAAGATTCCTGTAGAGGTCACAAAGTTCACTCTACAGCCATCTGGAAAATTTCTTTCAGTTGAGGTTGGATCATTTAGTCTTTAGACATGTTTTATGTGTCTATATTTGCTAATAATATTTAAAACAATCAAAAACATACTCTAATGCAAATAATATTTTAAAAAAGGAGTATACCTTATAAATAGTGAGATTCACTAGCTATAATAAAACTTCTGATAAGATATACATCTCTTGAGGGAAAAATGATTCCCTCTATCAGATATACAGTGTGCACACTTATTATTTCAGCTGTTCCTCTCCTGTGCTTATCCTGCCTTGAATGTTTGTCAAAATCCTGTCTGGATTGAGACATTTTGATAGAGAGACTTGTAAGTGTGTGAGTGAGAGAGGGAGGGAGGGAGGGAGGGAGAGAGAGGGAGGGAGGGAGGGAGGGAGGGAGAAAGAGAGAGAGAGAGAACATGTGATTCTTCATTCATTCTGTTCTTTTCAGTCATGCATAAACAAAAAGAAGCTAAGTTCCTAGACATAACAATAGTTCCCCCCCCCAAAAGAACTAATTATAACATTCTTATGTGACAAAAATTAAGAAAGTTATATATTTGTTACTTCAAAATGTTTAAACTCTAAAACTGATCTTTTATAGCTTCTGCGAACCAGGTTGAAATGATTGGTTATTTATTTATCATTTTGCCTTTGCTTGTGGTATGCAGGGAATGTAGGGAAATATCTTCCATTGATTAAATTATTCATACAGGTAGTCCTTGACTTACGACCACAACTGAACCCAGAATTTCTGTTGCTAAGTGAAACATTTGTTAAGTGAGTTTTGCCCCATTTTACGATCTTTCTTGCCATAGTTGTTAACCGAAATCACTAGAGTTGTTAATTTAGTAACGTAGTTGTCAAGTGAATCTGGCTTCTCCGTTGACTTTGCTTGTCAGAAGGTTACAAAAGGTGATCACATGATCCCAGAACACTGCAACCATCATAAATATGAACCAGTTGCCAAGCATCTGAATTTTGATCACGTGACCATGGGGATGCTGCAACGATCGTAAGCGTGAAAAACGGTCATAAATTGCTTTTCGGTTCCATTGTAACTTTGAATGGACACTAAATGAACTGTTGTAAGGCAAGAACTATCTGTGTTTTGTGGAATATGTATTCTAGTTCAAGTACCAGCTTTGGTTCTAATGCACTTCTTTTTCTTTTCTTTCAAAGAACAAAGTTACTGAGTGATGCACCATGGAAGACTGCCTCCATACATCTTCTGAAAACCTTTCCAAGCTGGTCAGTTGGGCCCACAGTCATGGTACCATTTGCAGCCTCATTCCAAATTTAAAACACCTACTTTCAGAGGGTTCCCATGGCAACCTGACAGCTATGTGGGGCTGTAGTGCAGGCCATGCCTATCACTGGCCATTGACAGCTACTTGTAGGGCTGGTTCACAGGAAAGAGTTTGTTTCCAGGATAACCGAAGCTTCAACTCTGATAGTCCCAGCTTAATAGGCATGCCTCCAGACCCCCAAGCCAGCCCAGTGGAACGCTATCCAGGGAGGTCAGGAAAAGCAAAGTTGGACTATAACAGAACCAGAGATTCCTGCGATTTCTCCTACTGCAGTGAGCCTTCTGAATTAGACGAAACAGTGGAGGAATACGAAGATGAATCTAATCTTTTTGACATGGTCTGTGAGTCCTCGGTGACCGATGAAGATAGCGACTTTGAACCTCATCGTCAAAGATCTCAGATAAATTCCCTTAAAAGGCCTGGCCCATCTTCTTCTTCTTCACTACATTTGGACTCTCAGTCTCAGGTCATTGATGGAAGCAGCGGTGATGTTTTAGCCAAAAAAATAAAGCAAGAACTCCCTGAGGATTATTATATCGTGGCTAATGCAGAAATCACTGGTGGCACTGATGGCCCTGCGTTGTCCTTGACACACATGTCAAAACCTAAAGGGGGAGCCTCCTATCCTGTGGCATCTAAGCTAACTTCTCATGCATCTCCTTCCCTCAGCGCTGACTTTGATTTGCAGAATGTTTCAGCCTCTTCACAGGTTACATCAAGGCCAGTGACCCAGAAACCTCCCAAACTCAATCTGCCTTCCTCAAGCAGAAGGTCTGGTAACATCCCAACAGTAAATCCTCAGGTGGCCCTCCAGGTGCCTGCCAGCACTTCTAATTCTGGCAAACCTATCAGCATTCCTTTAGCAGCCTTGCAGCTTCCTGGGCAAGAAGAACTGTCAGCCTCAGAAGATCTCCTCCAGCCTGGCCCAAATCAAGTTTCCAGTGATGTAGCATTGTCTCCTTCTGTTAGCACAGAGCCGGAGGTTAGCTCTAGCCAGCAGCAGCCAAGCACCGCTTCCTGCACAGTCACTGAGCCGGTGGCACAGACAATACCAGGTATCAACATTGGTAATGTTTCTAATGATGATTTGCTTGATGCATTTAAAAAAAAATCATAGTACCGTATATGCCGGCGTATTAGGCAACCCGGCGTATAAGACGACCCCCGTCTTTATCGCCAGGCCGCATTCCTAGAACGTCGTCTTATATGCTGGAAACTACCAGTATTTCCGGCGTATAAGACAACTCGGCGTATAAGACAACCCCCGTCTTTGGCGCCGAGTTTAGCGCTTCCGGAAGTCGTCTTATACGCCGGCATATACGGTATTTTTTTCTCCAGAAGTAATTCCTTTTAATTCAATGTGTGCAAATGCTAACTGATTACTCATGGTGATGATGGTAGTAGGAATACAGCAGCAATAATTTACCAAGAATCAGTGTAATTTGGAGCCAAGATAAATAGTACATAGCAATAGCACTTAGACTTATATACTGCTGCATAGCGCTTTACAACCTTCTCTAAGCTGTTTACAAAGTCAGCATATTACCTCCTCCCCCCGCAACAGTCTGGGTCCTCATTTTACTCACCTTGGAAGGTTGGAAGGCTGAGTCAATTTTGAGCCGGTCAGAATCAAGCTCCTGGCAGTGGGCAGAATTAGCCTGCAATTCTGCATTCTAACCACTGTGCCACTATGGCTCCTGATACTAGGATAATAAAGTAGCTAATAACTGACTTATTGGCCAGGATAGTAATCTACCACATCCTAATCACAGTTTCTAACACTGTTATAGAAAAGGAATTATATCTAACACAGTATACAAATTATATTGGATCTTTATGCACATCATTAGTTTTCTAAAGGCAGAGGAATGTATTCATGGTTCCTAGAAGATAAGAACCTCAGGTGGAACAGATATCAGGCTTGGCACTCCCTCTGATATTAGTGGGCAAAAGCACAGCCTGGCTTATCAGAAAGAATTTCATTAGATTTCCCAAGGAAAGGATAAAAGTTGAATATCTGTACCTACTTTGTGAAGAAAGTTCCTTTTTGCATTGCCAGAACTTATATCAGCTTCAGTCTGTTTCTCTTACTAGCATTCCTGACACTCTGGTTAGACTCATACAATTTCAGTTCAAGCAAGGAAAGCGTGAAATATGAGCATCAGGGTTCCGAATGCCAGCAAAGGGGGTTTTGTTTTGTTTTTTGAAGCTATTCCACTTTATCCTTTAAATGGGCTCAAGGTTGACTCAGCCTTCCATCCTTCCAGGGTAGGTAAAATGAGGACCCAGATTGTTGGGGGCAATGTAAATATATATATATACATTCCTTACTGATGTACACCGCTTAGAGAGTGCTTGCACTTAAAGCGGTATATAAGTCTCATAAATAAATAAATAAATAAATAAATAGTTGTGAAATACAGAATAAAAGACAAAAGCAGGGGTAAACGGAAGGATTACAAGAATTTTTTTTTTTCCGTAAAATTCTGTCAGTGAACCAGAGTAGCATATAATAAATCTCACCTAGTAGCATAACACGCTTGTTCTTTCTTAGTGGACTTTTGTGGAAGCTAAAAACAAGTATGCTGATCAGAAGTTGTCCCCCAGCAGAGAAGGGCAAGCAGATCAATATTCTACTTAATCTACCCTATCTCCCACAGGAAGGTCCTGTATTTCAAATTCTGGGTAGTTCATGTTTGATTTGTTGATAAGAACCACACAAAAGGAGAAGAGCAAGATCCCTACAGTTGTTGATCACCAGTCATGAGATGAAAAATGAGCAAAGAAAATATTCACTGGATGATTGTCTTTCTCACTATGATAAAATGGTATTTCTGTTGAAGATAACAGCAGCCATTTCTGCATTTGCATCATCCAAAATATGCAAGTTATCCAAGTTAAAGTATCAGTTTGGGGGAGGGGTGGGGGTGGGTGTTTGGGTTTTTTTTGGGTTGATTTAGATGTGACTAGCCTGCTCCCTTACTTTTTAAACCTTGCATTCATTGCCTGTTCTAGAGCAGCCTGGCCTGAGCAAAATGCCTTGCACAAATTTAAGTTACTTTGAAACTTAAAAGTAGATAACAAATTCCTACTCTAATAACTAATTTAAGAGTCTTTAAGTTAGAAAAAAATATCCCACGGACATTTTATTTATGTTTATCCCACCTTTATTATTATTTATTAATTATTAATGAATAATTCAAGGCAGCAAGCATACTCCTTTCTCTTCTATTTTTGCCCACAGTCTAACCCTGTGACATGGGGTTGGGCTGAGAGAGAGTAACTGGCCCAAAGTCAACCCAACTGCCTTTCATAGCTAAGGCAGTACTTGAACTCACCGTCTCCTCCTTTCTTACCTGGTGCTTTAATCATTAGACCAGCGGTTCTCAACCTGTGGGTCAGGACCCCATTTGGGGTCGAACGACCATTTCACTGGGGTCGCCAAACAATGCAGTCCGCCATTTTTTCCCCCTTTTCCTTAGCTGTGCTACTCCCTTTTATTCTATTGGCTTTTGAAAGCCAATAGAATAGACTCTCTTGAATAGAGTCTAATTCTATTGGCTTTCAAAAGCCAATAGGAATTGTCCAGACTGTCTCTGCCCTGCTGAGCCTGCCAAAAGTCCCATTCTGCAAACGGTGCTGCAAGTTTCTGCAGCGAAGGCGAGCTGTCTGGAAGTTTCCACCCCTCCCTGCTGAGCAACTACTAAAAATGTAAGTAAAAGAGCACCAGGGGTGGGAGGTGGGAGGCCGGCGGGCGCAGGGAGGGTTGCTGGCACGCATGGGGCCCGGCAGGTGCCTTACCTCCCTTGGGCTGGGCCAGCTGGTGGCCCAGCCGGTGATCGGCCTGCTCCGTCTCTGCCGCTGCCAGCTATGCCTCGGCCAGCGCAGGGGGCGGCACCACGCATGTGCAGTGCTCCCAGGCAGGGAAAGTCCTCGACGTACGACAGGTTGGGTAGTCCTTGACATACAACCGGTTGGGTAGTCTTCAACTTACGACTGGTTGGGTAGTCCTCGACTTACGACCGGTTGGGGTCGCGGCATTAAAAAGGTTGAGAACCACTGCATTAGACTAAACCAGTGATGGCAAACCTTTTACAGACCAAGTGCCCAAACTGCAACCCAAAACCCACTTATGCATCATCGAGTGCTGGGTAGGTGTGGTCCATTGGCTGGGTGTGGCCCATTGGCTGGGGGTGGCTGTGGTGGTAACAGCAGACTGGGTGGGACTAAAAAGTTCAATTAATCAATTCCAACTTTGTAACATCTTTTTTTTTCCCGCGAGAAGTTGAAATTGACTGATTGAACCTTTTTGGGTTTTTTGCATACGGCGGCGGAGGCCTAAAGTGAAAAGGTTTTATAAAACCCAGCTGAAGGCCTAGGACTGGGGCGACGGCGCACATGCCCACAGCAAGGGCTCTGAGTGCCGCCTCTGGCACCCGTGCCATAGATTTGCCACCACTGGACTAAACTGACTCTCACTATTGCAAGAGGTGGCAAGTCTCTTCTGACAGGAAGAAAAATAAATGGTGACTGAAAGCCAAATGAAAAGAGAATGAAATTGTGGCAGGGGGCAGGGAGTGGGGGAGGTGAGAAGGTTGAACGAGCAGACGAATATGTGTACATGAATGGATAAAGTAACTATATATGTGGAATCATTATGATTCTCCCTCTATCTTTTTACGAGGGAGGAATGTTTACGAGGAAAAGAAATCGGGAATATGAAGAAAAAGGAAACATTCAGAGCCTTCAGAGAAGGGCGTTACTCAATGTTTCTGCAGTCCTGTATAACAAACCTTTTGCTGAAAAGTAAAAGCTTTGGGGGGGGGGGAAACAGTGAGAAAAGAAGTTACAAGTGGAAAGCAACACTGAACTCTCTGGAAAGTCCAGGCCAAGATGGCAATGCAATCCAGAAAGACTGCTGTAATTGCATTGGACAATGATGCTTCTCCAGACTATAGCAAATATATCTAAAAGAAGGGTTGTTTCTGAAAGAAGCAGTGCTCCATTCCTTCCTCAAGAAACCATATTGGATCCCTTAGATTAGGACAATTTTCATCCAGTCCCCGCCCCTATTGAGGAAAGTTATAGAGAAGGTGATTGGCCTCCATGTCCTGAAGGAAGCAGATTATCTGAACCTGTCCAATCGGGTTTCAAATCAAAGGATCGTATTGAGACAGCTTTGGTCATATCCTGATGACCTCTAGTGGGGTTGGGATGGGGTGGTGCATCCACCCTAACATTCCTTCATTACTCTGTGGTCTTTAATATTGTTGACTGCGATATCCTTCTGGTTTAGCCTATCAAGAATTGGGGACTTGTTCACTGTTCTCCATTGTTCCAGTTGGTGTTGGGGGAGAGTGATCTGGTCTGAGACCTCTGCTTTGCAGGGTGCTTCAGGACTACAGTCTCTTTCTTCTTCTTTTTCATATCTTCATGAAGCCATTGGGAGAAGTTATCTGTCAGCACAGGGTATAGTATCAACAATAGGGAACTATTAACTCTATGTGATAATCTGTAATGAATATCTTTTCCTAGATTCTTATTGTTTTGATTTTATTCTGATGGGTCAGGGAGTAAAAATCGGTAGAGGTTTTTATTTTAGCATTGCAGCCTGATTCATTTGAATTTTTAAAAGTTTAATATTTTTTTTAAAAAAACTGATATATTTAAAAACTTAATCTTATATGTGGGGCCCTTGTCAAATGGGCCTTCACTTAAAGTTTTTGCTTTGGATACCTCCAAGTCCAACATTTAGAAACTGTTGAAGAAAATGTGATCCATTGAAAATATTGAATGTTTACTTTTTATACAGCATTTGGGATCCTTCAATGGCCTAAGAAAATTTGTCTAAAATGAAAGTTCAGGTAGTCAACATCCATTAGAAAACTTTTAATGCTGGAAATAAAAATGCACTATCAATTTTATAATTTTGATTATCTCAGCAGACATACAAATACACATAAAATATTTATTAAACTTCGATATTTATTTAAAATTTGTTCTTCATGTTTTTTTATAAATGTCAAGGAAATAAATATGCTTCTAGTCTTTGAGC